GGGGGGGTCCTCTGGAACGGTTCACGAACGGATCACGGATATAAAATTGTCGTTTTCCCGAATCACGAAATTAAGCAAGTAAAATACTTTTTTTAAAATTCATAACCTGTTTTTACACTAGAAGCAGTGTTTGAAGAAAGTGAAGTCGCGAATGGCTAAGGCAAGGCTCCATATTGCAATTCGTATGCCTAAGTCACTCTCGATAGACGGCTCTAACCATTCGGGGGACTTGCGTTTGAAAATCGCATAGATTAGAGTGGTAAAATTACGAATACCGGTTAAGAATTCAGGTTTTCACGGGTCACGCAAAACCTTCAGGTCACGAGTCACAGAGAATAACTTCCTAAATTCACGTTTCACGGAAAATAAAATCAGCTAACCATGCATCACGAGAATACCCCTTTACGACCCTCTATCATAGTGTAATACACGGCTAAGGCTTCTTCATTTGCTTTATAATATAGAGGTACTGTGGCGAGAAACAATAAAATACTTTTTTTTTTCTATGTTTTATACTCTGATAAAACATGAGTTTTTGACCAATCAGAGCGCGCGCAGGGTCCGACATATATATTATAAATTGTCATACGTCTTCTGTGATTGCACAGCAATAAACGTAGCCATAATTTTATTGATCAGTGGCGTGGTGCTTGATTTTCATCCGCAACCCCTCTGGGGGTATTGGGCCGCTAGTGGCGTAATGTAGGGAGAGCAAACTGTAGGTGATTTTAAGCTTATATTGTTTTCCAAGACACGACGATAAAATTTGAAAACGTCTGCAAAACGTTTTTAAATTGAAATCACAACCTGCATGCGTTTCTCATCACATCACTCTTTTTGTAGCTTCAGGACGGTGACTTGTATAATAATTTTCGACATTCCGCACACTTATATGATAATTTTTGACATTATACTTAGGTTTCAATCAATCAGACTCGAAATATGTCTCCGTCGGTCGGTTTTGACCTGTTCGAGTTGTAATAGAGCCCTTTTAACCACGCAAATATTAGAACCAATGTTCTTACTTCCAGCACGTTTTCACGCCATTTCCATTAATGAGTTAGCTAAAAGCTGTCCTTTTTTAATATTAAAACACTAACAACCTGACATATTGGACAAAGAGTTAATCACTAGTGCGCGCCAGAGAACCGGAACATTCAACTTAATGGCCGAAAAATGCCTTGAAAAATAAATAGAAATACAAAATATTTACATAAGGTCTCGCCCAACATAACAACTTAATGCAGCAGGTGCAGATGTTTATGCTCATTAACAGGTTGAGAGATTGCAAGCAATTCAATATATACAAGACTTTCACAGTATC